GGTCAGGGGGAGGAGGCAGTGGGGGGAGGAGGCAGCGGGGGTGGTGGTGGTCAGGGGAAGGAGGCAGGCAGGGGGGAGGGCTGCGTCTGCCCTGGGAGGCTCACCCGCGGCTGCCTGCACTGGAGGTCCGCCGGCGCAGCAGGGAGCGCTGCCGGCCCTGGGCTCGAAGGAGTGCGTCCTGCTTGTGCTTCAGCTCCAAGAGTTTCGCCCTCACCTCCTCGTCCCCACACAGGTCTGAGGAAAGGAGGGGGAGGTCACAGGAGCCCCTCCCTGTCTCATCTGCCCCTTGGTAGCTGCAGGCCTCACACTCACCTAGGGGCGTCTCATCCAGCAGCGACTTTCCATTCAGGTCGGCGCCGAGTGCCACCAGCAGCTCCACCAGGTGCACCTGCGGGCAGCGGGGCTCTGCTGAGGGCTCGGGCAGGGCGGGGTCACCCACCTGCCTGTGGCGGCACTCACCTGGCCCCAGTACGCTGCGGCGTGCAGTGGCTCCCAGCCATCCTGGTCCTTGGCGCTCAGGCTGGCTCCGTGCTCCAGCAGCAGGGCAGCTGCCTCACTGAACCCGTTAGCAGCAGCGATGTGCAGCTGCAGAAAGGCCACCCAGCCTTGAACTCTGGCCCCACAGCCCTCTGCAGAAAACACCCACCCAGGGCCAGACCCCTCCACGTGGCCAGGTCCTCACCAGCGTGGCCCCATTATCCAGGGGCTCATTGAGGTCAGCCCCAGCATGCAGCAGACTCTGGAGGTCATCCAGCATGTGAAGCTCTGGCACTGCCCGGGCCTCCTCAATGCTCTCTTGGGTGATACCTAGGGGGCAGCAGGCTCAGAGAGAGGCTGCTGGGGCCCACCCCGGCACAGACAGAGCGCACTCACCGCGGTTAGCCATGGCTGTCTCCAGGCAGTCCAGAGTCTGCTCATCCTCACACAGGTCGTAAGGCATATTTCCATCAGTGTTTACTGCCAGGAGATCTGCACCACTGCAGGGCAGACAGACAGGCCCCCCATTCAGAGCCTAGCCCTGTCAACAGGTTCTCCCTCTGCAGAGGCCTTGGCTTCCAATGTCCTGGGGAGGCAGGTGATTGAGGAGGAGGCCACCCAGCAGCCCTAGATCCTGTCCTTTATCCAGACAGCCCATCCTGCCATCTCTACTCATCCGGGCCCCAGGCTCCCGGGACCCATCTAGGACCGGCCCCAAGTACAGCGGATGCACCTACGCGGTATGCAGGGCCTGAGGGAGAACAGGGCTGGAGCTGTCTGGGGTTTGAAGCTCACTGCTCGCTGTCGGCTGGGAGCCAAAGGACCTGCCAACCCGCCCTTTACCCCCACCCCGCTGCGGAGGCGCTGGGCCAAGCCCCCCCTCCGAGTGATTGGAGCGGCAGGGTTACAGGAAGGCTCCTGAAGCCCCCAGTCTCCTCTGCTCTCCATCTCTCCTACTTGAGTTCAGGGCTTCAGCTGTGCCCAGGCTCCTTCTCCCAGACCTTACTCTCTCTCCTCCCTTAGCGATCCCACTTTCAACACTCACCAGCACGACACTTCTCCATGTGGACCCCAGACTGGTCCTCAGGCCAGAGCGGGAGGCCAGCCTGCCAGGCAGGACCCTGACCACACTGAGCATTCCCGCCACCCCAGAGCCCCGGGCGGGATCAGCAGATAAGCGGGAGCATCACAGAAGGACCACCTGAGAAGCTATCTGTGTTGAAGGCCCTTCTTGACAGGCCCTACCTGGAAATGAGGAGCTCCACAAGATGCAGGTGGCCACAGGTGGCTGCAGCATGCAGCGGCGTCCAGCACTCACTGTCTCGAGCATTAACGTCAGCCCCGGCTTCCAGGAGCTGCTGCACCATCTCTTGAAAGTCATCGATGCAGCACTGCAAACAAGCACCCTGAGCACCAGAGCCCGGCCGACTCCCCGCCCCCCACCCCGCACGGGCTGACCTGGTGCAGCGCCGTCAGGCCGTCTTCATTGGCCAGGTCAGGGCTGACCCCACTCTTGAGGAGCTGGAGGACTACAAGAAGGGTGAGGGGGGGGAGATGAGGTGAGGGGGGGAGGTGAGGGGGGGGAGGTGAGG